TGGTTTCTGACCAGGGATGAAAAGTTGGGATGTGTTAAACATTCCTGCAGTGGCCTCTGTGTTTGGCCATCTTTTGGCAACTTCCAGTCTTCTAGGTCAGAGGTCAGCAAGTCTCTTTTCTGCAAAAATCCAGATAGTTAATATTTTAGAGTCTGCAGACTATGTATAGTTGCTGCTCAGATTCTTCTCTTTACAATCCTTTAAAAAAAAAAAATCTAGGGCCAGGGATTTAGCTCAGTGGTTCTGGTGCCTGCCTCACAAGCGCAAGGTCATGAGTTCGATCCCCAGTACCAAAAAAAATAAATTAAAAAAAAAAAAATCTAAAATCCATTCTTTGTTCTGGGCTGCACAAAATCATGCTGAAGGCCAAGGGTGGACTCCCAGGATAAGTGGGTGCTTTTTTTCAGGGCCCCTTAAGATATGTGTGGCATGCATGTGGCTCCTGACAGAGCTTACATAGCTCCCCATTATGACACAGCATCAGGGTGGTCCATACATAGTGTTTCCTTGGCCAATTTTTTCCAAAGCCTCTGTTTGATAATGGTCTCTTTTATCTAAGAACTTCTGACAGATCAATAGACGGGGAGAGGTGAAGTTGGAGTTGCTGGGAGCTGTCAGCTTATGAGTGCTTCTCAACCTAGGGTGATTTTTGCCCACCGAGTGACATTTTTAGTTGTCATGACTGGGGACAGGTAGGTAAGAGGCCAACACAATGCTAAAAATCCTACAGTACACAGAAAACCTCCCCTTCCAACAAAGAATTGTCTGGCCTCCATGCAGAGTAAGTGCTGAGGCTAAGAAACACAGCTTATATGGCAGTTTTGGTCTCATTTTGAGAGTAGTTTTTACTCTACTGTGCACCTGTACAAGGCTGAAAAATGTTTCTAGAATTGTAGGGTTCTGACAATTGGACAATCGTGACTTGTCTATGTTCGACAGTTTTGTGAGGATTCCCTACTTCCCTATCTCCCAGGAAAATTTAGGGCCGTTTTCCCCCCCAAGGCATCTTCATCCTTTGGCTTTCCTATGCTGTTGTCACACCCTTTGAAAATGGCACTGGATTAATAAATACTTCAAATAGTATCTCCTCCTGCTGATAATCACTGACCCTATTTAGTAGGGATTGGTCTGTTGCTTAAACATCTCCTGGGATTAGTTTCTCTCAGTGGGCAGCACATTATCTCATCACTAGATGATGTCGGGAGAGCATGGAGGATACAGACAGGATCTACCATGTGGGCTTGGTGATTAGATTGTGTGGTATCCAAAGAGGCACATGGCGAGTTCAGATTTTTCAGCTGTAGATGTGGCCCTCAGAATGTCTGGTCATGCCAGGCATGGTGGCACAGGCCTGTAATCCCAGCTATTTGAGAAGCCTACAAGTTCAGGGTAGGCCTAGGCAATTTAACAAGAACCTATCTCAAAAAATAAAAAGAGCTGGGGGTGTAGGTCAGAGGTAGCCACCACCTGCATTCAATCCCCAGTACTATGTTTAAAAAACAAGGTCTCAGTCATGCTGGGTTAGGAGAGCAGCCACAGGCCTCTGGGAAGGGACAGGGCGTCTCTTATTTAAAGGGCTGCTTTGTGCTCTGGACTTGCTTTATCTCATTTAATCAGCACAAAAAGCCTGGGGAGGTAAAGATTATCACAGCTGTGGCTTTACAGATAAGCCGAAGTGTAGTGGGGTTAAGTAACTGGCCAGGAACATATGGCTGCTTTTCTCCATGTAGTATACTTAACAGCAGAGAGATAGAGCCAGTTGAGGGACAACACAAAAATGAATTTGCCTCCCCCACTGTTAGATAGCAGCATCTCTTAAATGAGAAAGGGAGGAGGAAGCTCAGGTGGGAAATGGAAAGTGATCTTAAGTTTCGAATGGAAAAAGATATTACTCATTGGATAAATCTTCAGATAATTGGTGTACTTGGCAGGAGAAATTCTTTGTGTGGGTGTGTGACATGGGATGGAACCCAGGACCTTGGCACATGCCAGGCAAGAGATGCACTGCTACGCGCTGAGCCCCTTGGGTGGTATTCTGGGTGCCTGCTCTCTGAACTGTTTAAACATTGCTCCCTCTTAGTTTGCGCTAAATAATACAGTAGGACCTTTCCTTCACATCTGTCTTCATTTTTAAAGTCTATTATGAAATACTGGTTAAGGGCAAAATGAGACAAGCACTCTAGTAACTGTCATACAGATGCCCCTTGAATCTCACATACTGGGGATTGAACCCAGGCCTTCACACTGAGCTACATCCCCAGCCATTTCATTATGTTTTGAGATAGGGTCTCACTAAGTTCCTCAGGCTAGACGTGAACTTTAATCTTCCTGGTTTACTCTCTCATCTCAGATATCTGGGGGGGGGGGGTTGGTTTTTTTTGTTTGTTCGATTGTTTTGGGTTGAGACAGGGTCTCTTGTGTAGCTCAGACTGGCCTTGAAGTCGCAGCAGTCCTGCTGCCTCAGTCTTCCAAGTGCTGGGACGATAGGTGTGCGGCCCCATGCCAGGCCTGGCTTTTCTTTTTGTTTTTGCAGTGCTGGCCAGTAGAACTTGGAGCCTGGTGCATGCTAGGCCTTCCTAAAGTAACTATTTTGGTGGTGATGTATGCTTATTTTAGTGAGATTCTAAATCATAAAATGTAATGGAAATGTCTTCTGTTTCCCCCTCAAACTGAATTTGAGCCAGGATTTAAGAGTCGTTTGTTCGGTTTGCCCAAACATTGCACTGACATGGTGAAGAACCATACTGAAACCAAGCGTGGTGGCATGTGCCTGTATTCTTAAGCTCTTAGGAGGCTGAGACAGAAGGATCACTTGAGTTCAGAGTTCTAGACCAGCCTGGCAACATAGTGAGACCCCCTTTCCTGCCCCATTGGATTGCACTTTTGGGGACTAAAGTACAAAAAAAAAAAAAAATTGGCATGGTGGTGCAGCACCTCCTCCCAACTGCCCCCTGCCAGGGGAAAAATACCTATTGGCCATTGTTGGCTTTGAGTGCTTGAATTATTTCTATTTTTTTTTCTAAAGAACTAGCATTTGCTACCATCAAAAATGTGATCCAATAGTGTTCTACTGTATTTTTTACTGAGTTTTTTTTGGTACTGGGGATTGAACTCTGGACCTTGCGCTTGCATGGCAGGTGCCAGAGTCACTGAGCTAAATCCCCGGCCCAGTGTTCTAAAAGTATAATAGAGAAGTCTGAGTAAAAGTAGCACCACAGAAATAGTGTCAGCATATCCATCTCATGTGAGGCCAGAATAAGTCCTAAAACACTTGCAGTCGTGACTGGAGGAACTGTCCTATGAAGATAGAACCAAGGATTTGCATTAGTATTCTAATAAAGATTCTAGTGATGGATTCTAATTGACCTTGTGGCAGACTATATTGTTTGAAACGAAAACCCCTGCACTCAGCATCCGCGCATTTGCTGTTACCTGAACAAACAGAACTTTTATTACTGGCAACACCCAAGACTTGGACATTTGACTCAAGCGAGCAGAGGGAAACTTCAGGGAGTATGTGAACCCTAACCCTAAACAGCCATACGGAAGTTTCTAAAGAATTTTACCTGGCGTTTTGGCTCTGTACGATTTTCATTTGGGGTTACAGTAACTTCTTTTTACCTCTGCAGAATGTTCCCTTAACTGAATCTCACAGGTTTAAACTTTGAGAAGAGTGGTTCGGACTCTCGATATGGAGCCTCCCAAGTTGAAGATATGGGGAATATAATTTTAGCGATGATATCAGAGCCTTACAGTAAGTCTTACTGCCATAATTAGTCATAGAAGTGGATCCCACCACCCTCCCTGACCCATGCTTTTGAATTTGTTCTCACAACTTTGCATGCCTGATAGCTAAAGTGCTGACTTATGTTCTCTCGTGTTTAGATCACAGGTTTTCAGATCCAGAGAGGGTAAACTACAAATTTGAAAGTGGCACTTGGTAAGTAGTTGAATAGTATTCACTTGAGGTTTTTGTTTTTTTTTTTTCTTGGTACCGAGGATCAAACTCAGGTCCTTGCACTTAATGAAGTAGACAGTGGAACCACTGAGCTAAATCCCCAGCCCCTCACTTGAGTTTTTAAAAAAATTTTGAGGGCTGGGGATTTAGTTGAGTGGTGCTACCCCCTGCCTCGAAAGTGCAAGGTCACGAGCTCGATCCCCAGTACTAAAAAAAAATTTTAAGTCTTTTTTTTTTTGGTCATATTTTAGAAAATTTACTTAACCTTTTGACTATAATTTCATGTTGTTAGACCATTTATTAAAGTAAGCTTGGGGCTGGGCATTTTAGTTCAGTGGTGCTGGTCCTGAGGTTGATCCCCAGTACCAGGAAAAGAAAAAAAAAACAAAGTAAGCTAGTAATACAGTATTAGCATCTTCAGTCATTCACTGACCAGTGCTACATCTTAATGTCGTATGTGTGATTCTTATTTTATTCCTTTCAAATTTGTTCATCCTTCCACTTGGAAAACCTCCAAAGGAAAAAATCAGAGTTCACAAGTTTTTACTGAGATTAAGTATATTCTATCAGCTTCTGCTTAAAAGCAAAGGAAATGGCTAGGGAGAAACATGAAGTTGTGCTATCTATTTGTGACCACAGGTAGGCCTGGGGAAATATGTAAATCACTGTAGTGAATTGCATGAAATTGGTGCCTGGCAGGGATAGAAGCTTCTGACAGCTTTGCCCATGGAGAGACTTTGGAGCCTGTTTAGTTATAAAGAAGGTGACTCATTAGGAAAATGTCCCAGGATTACTGAAAATATGAACCTCAGAAGGACAGAACAGCTAGCGCTGTCAGAATGTATAATAGGTGATTCCAAATGGCTCACAGAGGTGTTGGCACTCGCATGAGCATCCTGGGGTGACTCTAGTTTACAGGGGAAATGTTTTCATGGCAGAGTTCTGACCACATGTATACGTTCCTAATGTGGGTTAATTGCCAGCTCTGTTCTGACCCTAAATTTTGCTGCAAATTGGATTTAACACCCATTTGTTGCTGCCTAGATCTGAGAATTAATTTAACTCTTTCCTTGGTTCTAGCAAGTTTCAGGCCATGAGAATCCTGGGAGAACCTTAGGTCCTGTGAGTTGGCACTGGGGACCTTTGAGTTTCTGACAGGTATGAGGCTCCTTGGCTGACAGAAGCTGTGCTGGAGTAGCTGGTCATCTTTGTAGAGTGAACAGACTCAGTGCTTCCAGTTCTTGAGGAAAATGAGGCGGCAGGGCAAGCCTGTCTGAATTGCAAATAAATAGGACCTCACAGGTCACCAGGCGCGTTGCCTGGCAGGGACTCATAGATGTCACGCTGACAAGCATTAACTTTGCGACCTGAAGTTTTGCTTTGTCTGCAGCAGCAAGATGGAACTTATCGATGATAACACCGTCGTCAGGGCTCGAGGTTTACCGTGGCAGTCTTCGGATCAAGACATTGCAAGATTCTTCAAAGGACTCAATATTGCCAAGTTGGTTTCCTTTGACCTCTTTTATTTAACAGTCCCAAAGGGTTCCCAGGTTTCCTGTCATCCTTTCCTCCCCACTGAATTATTTTCTACCTGCCATCCGTTTCGTTCTTTTCAAAGGGGAGGTGCTGCACTTTGTCTGAACGCTCAGGGTCGGAGGAATGGAGAAGCTCTGGTGAGGTTTGTGAGTGAGGAGCACAGGGACCTGGCCCTGCAGAGGCACAAACATCACATGGGGACCCGGTACATCGAGGTATGATTCGCCTGAGACTTGGCCCCTTCTCAAGTGTGCCTGTGGAGTGAAGGCTCGGAATCTGGGTGTTTGAACTTCTCTTTGTTTTCACAGGTCTATAAAGCAACAGGTGAAGATTTTCTTAAGATTGCTGGTGGTAAGTCCCTTTTCTATAATGTCTTTAGTTCATAAGATAAAATGTTTTGCCTGTGTATTAAGAATAGATGAATACGGCTATTATGGGCCTGATAGTTCACGTATAGAGCCTAGTGTACGGCCTTTGGTTTTATTCTCACCACACACACAAACACACACACACACACACACACACACACACACACACACACACAGATCATGAATGATTTTTATTTCCCAGTAAAATATGAGAACTCTTTTTTTTTTAATAGAAAAAGTCTTAGAATAGTATTAGTGAGTTTAAGGTACTGTTGCACTCAATGCCAGTCTTGATGGCGCATGCCTGTACTCCCAGCACGCTGGAGGCTGAGGCAAGGGGAGGATGACTGGGAGTTCAGGCCAGCCTGGCTACACAGTAGCTACAAGGCCAGGACCCTGTTTCAAAAAAAGGCTATTAGATTCCCCAAGGCTTGACCCAACCTATTAGAGTTAAACAGCCATTAAAAATGCCATAAAAAACATACAAAAGCATTGACCTGAAATAAACCTTTCCTCCTTTAACTTGTGAGTGTCAGGTATTTTTGTCTCAGAAATGAGAAAAGTAACTCAGATGCTTCAGAACCATAGAAAATAAATTTCTGTTAAAAGAAAAAGTACAGGGATGACTTATATAAAGGGAAAGGGTAGTTTTTGTGTTTTGTTTTGGTTTTGAGTCAGGGTCTCACTGTGTAGTCCAGTCCATGTGAACAGTGTGATGAGAATTTCCTATTAAGAGCCAGGCATGGTTGCACACGCCTGTAATCCCAGCACTTGGGAAGCTGAGACAGGAGGATTGCTGTGAGTTTGAGGCCAGCCTAGGCTGCATAGTGAGTTCAAGGCCAGCCTGAACTACATAGTGAGATCCTGTGTCAAAAAACCAAAAGAAAGAAGAATTTCCTATTAAAGAAAGTGTTCTGTATGAGTTTGATGGTCATGCACTTGAATAGTCACCATGTGGCATGCTGTACCGAATGCTTTGGTTTGGAGCTGGGCATGGTGGTGCACACCTGTAAGCCCAGCATTCGGGAGGCTGAGGCAAAACAATTGCCTCAAGTTCAAGGCCAGCCTGGGCTACACAGTGAGCTCAAGAATAGCCTGAACTACAGAGCAAGACCCTGTCTCAAACAAAACAAAACAAAACAAAAGCCCCAGAATGCTTGAGTTTGGGCAGAATGTTGATACACTGGAGCTGTGTGCCAAGTATTACACTGTTTTTCTCAATTGGCTTTGAAACTTTTTTTGTGGTACTAGAGATTGAACCTCGCGTTTCACACATATTAGGCAAGTGCTCTGTCACTGAGCTATATCCTCAGCCCTTTGGATCTTGCTGAGTTGCCCTACTGGTCTGAAACTTGGGATCCTCCAGCCTTACCCTCCCAAGTAGCTGGGATCATGGGCATGTGCCCCAATGGCTGGTTCTGCAACTTTCTTAATAAAAAACAATTAGGAAAATTACAAACCCAAAGTGCTTTATCAGCATTAACCTACGTAATTCTCATAATTTTAATTGTGAATAATAAGTTTTATTTTATCCTATTCCTCCTCGCCAAGCCTCCTCTCATAATATTATTTATTTATTTATTTATTTTCGGTGTTTTTTTGAGATGTGGTCTCCCTATGTAGCCCAGGCTGGCCTCAAACTTGTGGCCATCCTCCTGTCTCAGCTTCCCAACTGGTGGGATTATAGGCGTGCACCACCAGAACTGGCTTCTCATAACTTTTTTTTTTTTTTTTTTTTGGTACGGGGAATTGAACTTGGGTCCTTGCGCTTGTGCAGCAGGCAGCGAGACCACTGAGCTAAATCCCCAGCCCATTACTTTTTTTTTTTTGAGGCAGGGCCTCCCTTTGTAGTTTAGGCTGGCCCTGAATGCACTAGGTAGCTCAGGTTGGCCTTGAACTCATGGCAATCCTCCCGCCTCAGCTTCCCAAGTGCTGGGATTACAGGTGTGCACTACCATGCCCCTCTCAATTCTCATAATTGATGAAGCAGGCAGTTTTACAGATGTGGGAACTAAGGCACAAGAGGTTAAGCAAGCTAAGGTACCCGAGTAAATAGAAAGCCAAGGCCAGAGCCAGGCAGTCTGGCTCCATGGCCTGTGCTTGTTGCTCCATTTGCAGTTCTGGGAATCACACTGTGGGCCTCGAGTGTGGTGGTTGGTGGGCACTGCCCCAGAGCCACGCCCTTAACTCCTATGATGACTGAGATTGCTCCCCATTGAGAAGAGGCGGCTGGTCTGTGGTTTAATGATCGGACCAGCTTTCTACATTAAGAGTAGTGTTTTATGAAAATGCTGGTGGAACAGTTTCAAATTTAAGAGAAAGGAAATTTTTGTTCCCAGGATAACATCAGTAAGAATTCAGTAGGAAGGTGGGTCTTAATCTTGAATTGATATTCAAGGTATTGAAGACATTGCCAGAAGTTTATGAAATTCGAAGCACTTTGAATATAGTCAAGTCGACATCCCACCTGTTTCTCTCCATGCTTTCTAATGTTTGTCTTTCCTAGGTACCTCTAATGAAGTAGCCCAGTTTCTCTCCAAGGAGAATCAAGTCATTGTGCGCATGCGGGGCCTCCCTTTCACGGCCACAGCTGAAGAAGTGGTGGCTTTCTTCGGACAGCACTGCCCCATCACTGGGGGGAAGGAAGGCATCCTGTTTGTCACCTACCCAGACGGCAGGCCAACAGGGGACGCGTTCGTCCTCTTTGCTTGTGAGGAATATGCACAGAACGCACTAAGGAAGCACAAGGACTTGTTGGGTAAAAGATACATCGAACTCTTCAGGAGCACAGCTGCCGAAGTTCAGCAGGTCGGTTTGTTTCTTTCCCTTTTTTTGTTTGTTTTTTGAGAAAAGGTCTCGCCATGTAGTTCAGGCTGGCCTCGAGCTCACTGTGTAACCCAGCCTGGCCTCAAGCTCACTGTGTAGCCCAGCCTGGCCTTGAACTTATGGCAGTCCTCCTGCCTCAGCCTCCCAAGGGCTGGATTACAGGTGTGCCCCACCTTGCCCGGAAAGCAGGTCATTTCTAAGAGTATGTTGGGAATTTTGCCTCATTTTATTTGTTTTTTAATCTTTGAAAACAACCTTACACTATTCCTTGTGTTAAAATCTTGGAGAATACAGAAAGTATAAGTGCATGAAAATAGTTTGATTCTATGACCACAGAGGAATATACTGTTTTTTTTGGAGGTTTTTGGTATCAGGGATCGAACTCGGGACCTTGTGCTTTTGAGGCAGTTGGTGGAACCACTGAGCTAAATTCCCAGCCCTTGTATTTTCCTTTCTTTTTTTTTTTTATGGTACCGGGGCTTGAACTCGGGTCCTTGAGCTTGCACAGCAGGCCGGCAAAACCATTGAGCTAAATCCCTGGCCCCGTATTTTATTTTCTTATGTGCTATTTTAAAACCATGTATCTTGAAAGCTTGTCCATGTTTGAAAGTTTTCATCCTTAATATACCTCACTGAAGTGCATATTTTATTTAAAAATTCCTCTATTCTGTGTTTGGGTTGGTTTCTTATTCTGCTTTAGAATTTCCTATATAAAAAAGTTTGTAAGGTGGACATAGTGGTGCAAGTGTGTAATCTCAGCACTCTTGGAGGCTGAGGCAGGAGGATTGCAAGTTTAAGCCCAGCCTTGGCAATTTAGTGATTTAGCAAGACCCTATCTCAAAGTAAAAAATAAAGGGCTAGAAATATACCCCAGTATGAGAGGCCTGGCTTCAATCCCCACTACCATTAAAAAAAAAAAAAAATTCCAAAATAAACTCCAAACATGTCTATAAAACTTTCATCAATTTCTGATTGATTTTTTTTTGGTACTGGGGATCGAACTTGGAACCTTGTGCTTTCAAGGCAGGTGGCAGAACCACTGAGCTAAATCCCTGGCCCTCTGATTGATTTCTTTAGAATTAGATATAGACTAGGAACTTCAAGGTTTTCAGATTTAAAAGGTTTAAAAGATTTTAAGGTTTAAAGATTGCTTTAGCAATTTTTTTCAGTGTACTCAATTTGTGTCCCATAGCAGAAGAGGTTGATTTAATGATTACTTTTTTCATTTTCTTTTTACAAGTGTTTAGGATACTTTATTTCTGTAAGTTCACAAAATGACTGCCCATCTTCTGCAGCCTGCTGTATATTGTGTTTTAAAATGATTGCCTGGGGCAGGGATTTAGCTCAGTGGCACCACACCTGCCTGGCAAGCTCAAGGTCCTGAGTTCGATACCCAGTACAGGAGGGTGGCGGAATTGCCCAGGAAACAGAACCTGTACAGTACCAGGAGGTGATCCTGGGTGTGAAGTGAACTTCCTCTTCATTTCACCATCCCTACCATTTTATTTAACAAGGGCTACAGCAGTCATGGGCTCTGTCATTGTCTTTTCATTATTAAAAATAATTTCCTTCATGGCCAGGGATTTAGCTCAGTGGTTCCAGTGCCTGCCTCAAAAGTTCAAAGTCCTTGCTGGGGATTTAGCTCAGTGGTTTCACCACCTGCTGTGCAAGCGGAAGAACCCAAGTTCGATCCCCAATACCAAAAAAACACACACACAAAAGTGCAAAGTCCTGAGTTCGATCCCTGGTACCAAAATAGTAATAATAATTTCCTTCAGTCAATACTTGAGCACCTCCTGTCTGGCAGGTCATACAAGGGGTTCTTCACCATTCTGTCCTGATATTCTAGACTTGTTTTACACCCAGTGTTATAGCTGCATATCAATTGTGTAACTTTGAGAAGTTTTTCTGACTCTTTAGCATTTCTTTAGATGTGCTACGTTTGTTCTTTGATTCTGTGGCTTCTTAGCTACTGAATAGGTTGGGAGTAAAGAAGTTGTGCACATTTTGGGCGAGGGGTTCATTGATTTGGGTACATTTTCAGTGTGTAGGACTGGAAGTCTGGAATGGTCAAGGTTCCTAGAAAAGCTGGGGGTGCCGCAAAGGGTGTTGGCACAAGGACCTACTTCCTAGTATTACAAATTAGTTCACAAGATGTAAGATAAAAATGGACAAGAAAACTATGACCTGAGTTTTGCCCGGAGCAATTCATCAGACCCATAGTCCATGCTCAGGATAGCTGAATTCCAGGAATCTAAAAAATACCAAAGACCTATCTTGATATTGCCTCAGTTTCACATGGAAACTAAATTACTGTCATTATGGTCACCAAATGATTTTTTTTTTTTTAGTTTGCATTTTCCAGGTGTTCTGTCTTGTGCTTTTATGTGGTTTTATCTTTTTTTTTGGTACTGGGAATTGAACTTGGGAACTTGCACTTTCGAGGCAGGCCCCCAGATCCAGTGAGCTAAATCCCTGGCCCTGGTATTATCTTTTAATATCATTCAAAATCATTATTTGCCCTGTGGTTCTTTTGCTGAGTCATTCTCTCTATTTTTCGTGTTTGGAGGTAGAGAATGAAGATAATTTTTTTTTTTTTGGTACCGGGGATAGAACTCAGGACCTTGCGCTTTCCAGGCAGGCGCCGGAACCACTGAGCTAAATCCTGGACCAATGAAGATAATATTAAAGGGAAAGAGGGCCAGGGATTTAGCTCAGTGGTTCTGCTGCCTGCCTCACAAGCGCAAGGACCCGAGTTCGATCCCCAGTATAAAAAAAAGGGGGGGGGGTGCTATGTATTTTGTGAAATACAATCTAATAAATTGCCAGAAATGTCCACATTTACCAGATTTTTATAAAAGCACACTTACTGTGCATAGTGCTGCACACCTGTAATCCCAGCACTTGGGAGGCTCAGGCAGGAGGATCATAAGTTTGAGTCCCACCTGGGAAACTTACTGAGACTCTATGTCAAATAAAAAGTATCACGCTTTTCCAGCTGAAATGCATAAATCTCTTCATCGGTGCCTGTCAAATTTTTATATATTTAATGAGTCACCTAAGGAGCTTGTTAACATGCAGATTCATATTTCTGATGTCTGCAGTGCACCTGAGACTGCATTGCTTATTTTTCTTTTCTTTTTTCTTTTATCATGGGGAGTGCAGCCAGGGCCTTGCTCATGCTAAGCATGCACTCTACCACTGAGCCACACCCCAGCCCCTGGACTCAGCATTTCTGTTTTTGTTTTGTTTTTATCCAAGGTCTTGATTTGTGGTTCAGGCTGGAACTCACAGCCATCCTCCTGCCTCAGCCTCCCTAGCACTGAGATTATAGGTGTGTACCACTCTGCGGGGCCAGACTCTGCATTCTTTTTGGGGGGGGGTACAGGGGATCGAACTCGGGTCTTTGTGCTTGCGCAACAGGCGGTGAAACCACTGAGCTAAATCCCCGGGCCAGACTCTGCATTTTTAACAGGCTCCCGGGAAATGCTGGTCCTGGTCTTTGGATGATCAGGAATAGCAAGTTTCTAAATCCCTTCTGTTTTGCTTCGAGTGCAGGTGCTGAATCGGTTCTCCTCAGCCCCCCTCATTCCACTCCCAACCCCACCCATTATTCCAGTACTACCTCAGCAGTTTGTCCCCCCTACAAATGTTAGAGACTGTATCCGCCTTCGAGGGCTTCCCTACGCAGCCACAATAGAGGACATCCTGGACTTCCTGGGGGAATTCTCCACAGATATCCGTACGCACGGGGTTCACATGGTACTGAATCACCAGGTAAGAAAGTCGGTTATTAGAAAACATATTTGCTTATTTTTTTCCTGGGGCTCAAAAGCTCTCTTCTACTGAAAGAGTGCAAATACTCCTTAGTTTTATATTGTCTTTAAGAAAAGATTTAGCTGTAAGTACAGGAAGTATTTCGGATGTTTTCCAGAAAGAATGCTGCCATTATTATGATCATTCGAATTCAGCTCTCATCCCTTCATCACAGAAAAATCCGTCACATTATTGGTAGTCAGGTAGGAGCCAAATAGGTGTGTTCAACATTTTCCTGTGTCAGCTACTGAACTCTGACTCTGATACTTCGGTGTGATGATACATGGCGTAGGTGATACATAGACAACTGGAGAGTGCCTGTGTCCCAGAGTACTTTGTATTCGCAGACTGTTTAGAAATGACATTTCATCCCCATTAGACAGCAAGATATACTCACTCAGTAGGATGCAGAGTCCATGAGGACGTGTATGCATGGTGCCTAGAACACAGTGTGTGGATCATAACAAGCACATGGTTGTGCTCTGGAATGAAATGCTGAGAAGCCCCTACTGAAATCTAACTGTGTTCTTTCATTGTGCCACTGTCATTTGGCTTCTGCTTAAATAAAACATCATATTAGTTGCCAGACAATTTACCGGTATTTTTTGTTAAGCAGGACAAAAGTCTATAACCTCATAAGGCAAATAGTTCTAATTAAAACTTTGGAACTCTGCTAAAAGGAAAGTTATGTTTTCTGAGCGCTATGGGTTGAATATAGGCTAATATTAGAAATAGTAAATTTTTCCTCACAATTAATTTCCCCCTTTTTTTTTTCACTTGGCGACGTGGTCCGTCTCATAAGTGTAATCTTGTCCACCAGAAGCACACATCCCTGGGTACGGGAATCAGAAATTCAGTATCAGCACACAGCACTCATTCTAACTCTTGAGTTAATATTAAGCCATACACTGTACCTTTTGATCTGATAACCCTCTTAGCATGCTTCGCTGGTACGAGTTTATTTCTGTTTTATGTTATTCTTGTGGTATTGGAGATTGAATCCGGGGCCTTTGTTCTGCACTATATCCCAGCCCTTTTTTATTTTTAGACAAGGTCTTACTAAGTCACCAAATTGCTCAGGCTGGGCTTAAATTTTCTATCCTTGTGCCTCAGCTTCCCGGAGTGCTGGGATTACAGCCATGTGCCACCATGCCTGACTGAATTATGCCTTTTTGAGTCACCATATCTAATAACCCTGAGGCCATTACTATTTAGTTACCAGCAGTAGACAGGGTTGCCTCTTGTTGAACCTGTGATTGCACTGGAGAAGAATGCTGCTTTGATGACGGACAAGCTCTTAATTGCCTAGAAGATGTGAGGTTTCCGTCTTGGACTGGGGTTGTTGCTGATTTCTCTGGTCTGGTAACTTGCATGGTAATCATTTGGACCAAGTATTTCCTAAGAGACTCATAGAGGAAACTATAAAATAAGAAAGCAAAACTATAAACTGGTTGTGTCTTTCTCCCTTGTAAAATGTTCATGCTAAATAAAACCAAGGTGTTCTAGGTCTGTGGAACAGAAATCTACAGGCATGGCTTTAACTAAGAAATTTTAGCAATTACTAAAAGCAGGGCCTCTGAGCCCCTGTTGGAGCCAGCTGAAGGTGCAGGTGGAAGCAGGAGCTGCTCTGGCCAGTGGCTCTGCAGCTCCCACGCCCTCACTGTCCCCTGGGCCCCTGCATCTTACCCAAGTCCCCCTCCACATTCTGGTCAAGGTCTGGATGAGGTAGAAGGGAGGGGTGTGGCAGGGCCGCGATGAACAAGCGCTGGGAGCCACAGGAGAGGCTGGTTTGTTCAGTTAGGATCTGTAAAGCTCTAAGACTGGTTCTGTTACTAGCTTTTCTCAATCCAATGACATTTAATCGGATTTTTCAGGAGGGAAAAAAACTTTCAATATACAATCCCATATTTTGAAAGCTGCAGTAACAAGGAGACCCTTTCAAAACCTGTAAATTTGATACTAATTTAACAAACCAAAAAGGATCACTTTCAGGTACGAGCTCTCAAAACTGTCTCTTCAAGGTTTTGCGGGCCATTCTGGTGACTGGCGACGCGATGCGTCCTACTTTGTGGCTCACGTGACTCTGCTGCGGGTGGTTGTCACTTTTCGTGTTCTGTAAGCAACTGTTTATTTCCTTGTTGAGGGATACCATCTCCTTTTGTTTTTATTCTTCCCCCACACACCCAGGGCCGCCCGTCAGGAGACGCCTTTATCCAGATGAAGTCTGCGGACAGAGCATTTATGGCTTCACAGAAGTGTCATAAAAAAACCATGAAGGACAGATATGTCGAAGTCTTTCAGTGTTCAGCTGAGGAGATGAACTTTGTGTTAATGGGGGGCACTTTAAATCGAAATGGCTTATCCCCACCGCCATGTAAGTTACCATGTAAGTTTTTCTTGGGTCTTGGCGCTATCTACGCTGTATGCTGGTAGGTGCTTAAGCTGCTTTCCTAACTTTCTTTCCCCCTGGTTCTTTCGGAGGCAGCAAGGTGGTTACATAAGGCTTTCCCATCTGAAATCAGTAGTACCTGGTAATCATTTAAGACCTTGGTTGTGGACACCCATAATTAGAGACGCTGCACATAACCTCCTTTTAAATTATATTCTTGCTTTTCCAGTGGTAAGCAGTTGATTTCTGAAGCTTATTGTGCCTCGATAAGCACTGACTCTGAGAGGCAACCTGGCTATGTAGATATTTAAAACGCATTTAAAGGTCAAATATAAGTATGGCTGGATCCTTTTTTTTTTTTTTTTTTTTTTAACACATTAAGTTTTAAGAAGGATGATTTGATACTTATTTTTTATTTTTCACTTCTTGAGCGTCACCTGTTTTTTTTGAAAATTATAACCTGGACAGCACTCCTGCTGCTGCTGTCTAGGATATCTGGAATGAGCAAGTCTGTAAAAAATATAAATGTATAAATGCGTACACAAATTAGCCAAAGTTTCCATTGGATCACAGGATCAGTGCTTAAGTACAAGCCATGCTCTTGCTCATCGGCACCTGGGTGCAAGCCATTGGTAATCTTGTTGGAGAGGAATAAGCCCTGTAGTCACGAGACCAAGTTCTAGTTAGCAGCTGGAACACTGGAGCCTAATGTTAAAACTGGAGTCTTTCTATGCAGTTTTCACCTTTAAGTTCCACATACGTCCTCAGGCACATTGGGTATGTTTAAAGAGCCTGGTAATTGGAATACAGCTCGAAGATAACTGAGAAACTAAACTGCATTTTTGTGCTTGATTCCCATTAAGTGGGCAGTTTTAGGAGTTTAGTTTTACTTTGTGGTAAAAAGAAAACTATATCAACAAACCTGTTTGATCAAGTATTATTTGTAGAACAAATTTGGTGGGGCTTAATCCTTTTTTCCCCTTGGAATTCCTAAATGCTCATATTCCATTTACCTGCTGCTTGCTGTTGGTGAATATCTAAGAGTTGTTAATGAGTGTAAAGTTGAAAATTTGTGATTATGTTTAAGAAAATATCTTAAAATAATCATGGTTATATGATTTCTGCCTATAAATCACCGAGAGTGTCAGTAGTTTTGTTTTGGTTTTGGTTTTGGTACTGGGGATTGAACTCTGGGCCTTATGCTTGCAAGGCAGGTGCCAGAACCACTGAACTAAATCCCTGGCCATAGTAGTTTTTATTGTATGTATCCTTAAGGACAGTCTATCAAGCATTGTGAGGTAAAGCAATTTCCTTGACACGTATGGTCCACATTCTTCTGCTGTGATAGCCTTTTACTTCTCCCTCCTACAAGCTCTAAGAAAAGAAAAATAAATATATGTTTGACATAAAAATATATTTGTGTATCTTGGGTTACCTTTAGTACTTTCCAAAATTGAAGACAAAATGTTTAACAAAAATTTGGCCATCTGACTTTTTAGCAGGAGAGTTTATTTTTTTAAATACCAGAAATCCAGTTTAAACATGCTAATATTATGCCTGCTATACTGAATAGTTTTTCCTGCCAACATATCTCCACAGAACTTAAAGAAATTGCATATTTTAAAATGTAACCTCAGGCCAGGGATTTAGCTCAGTGGTTCCACTACCTCCCTCGAAAGCGGAAGGGCCCGAGTTTGATTCCCGGTACCAAAAAAATAAAATAAAATAAAATTTAACCTCAACATCTAAAGCAGTTAAAATAGTGATTGATCAATATTCTGCACAGAAGTCCCCCCACAAAACAAGCTGCTAAAGTCTCTTTGATATTTTAAAGTTTTTCACTTTAATTTATTTAGAAAAAAATCTTAAGGACAACTTCATTTTTGTATTCTGTGTCTGTACACACTGTGCTTTATTAAGACTATAAGAATAGCCACGCAAAGCTAGGCATAGTGGCTCCCAGCATTTAGGTGAGGAAGAAGGATCCCTGTGAGCTAAAGGCCAGCCCTGGCTACATAGTGAGACCCTGCCTCCAAAAAAACAAAAACAAAAAACCATGGTTTCATTTGAGGAATGCCCAAATCTTAACAACCTAATCTCTTTGGTTGACAAAAATTTCTACCTTTCTTTGTTTTGAAGCAGAATAAAGACCTACTATATATGTTTGTCTTATGGATTTTTACATATTACACAGTTCAGCAGACATAATTTTATTTTTTTGGTACGGGGAATCAAACTTGGGTTCTTGCGGTTTCGAGGCAGGCGGCGGAACCACTGAGCTAAATCCCCAGCCCTATCAGACATAATATTAACATGTATCAGCTACATAAAATGTATAAGACCCTGTCCTGCAATGAATTGCTTGATAGTTTTGAAAGCAGAACTTGAGCACAGGCTATATAATTTTTTATACTGAGGCACCTTAATTTGTGCTATTGGTCTTTCTATGGGCTCTTTAATGCCAAGGATCATAATTTTAAAATTTATGAGTATCTTAACTTCTAATACAGTTGTTGACAAGTATGAAAGAAGCTGATCATAAGATCAGTCTGTTGGTCTTTGCCCTATGTACGCACATTCAACTGCCTACCTCTCTCCACAGTGGTGTGGACACTGGTAGCAAAAGACACTGGGGAGTCTTGGAAATTTTTGTGAAAAAAAATTGTCCTTTGACTCTGCTACTTGGAAAATCAGGTGGTTCTAGGAATGAAACATAAAGTCAGGGACCCCCAAATCAGCTCAGTTATCTGTTTGGCATAGATGGTCTGATACTTGTGTTCATCTCACTTCTAAAAGCTGGTGGCCAGCAACTGCTCCAGCTTAAGGGGAAAGATGATGAATAACAAGAAAAAAGACCCACTCCCCACCACAGTACCAGAGAGTGAAACCCTGGGCCTGTTGCGTGCTAAACATGTGCTTTACTACTTAGCTGCACATTCAGCCCCCTTTTTGCCCTCTATTTTCTAATCTGAGCTAGCTTTTTATCAGATGACTCTTGGAAAGACCTGTGCATCTATTTCTTTAGGGCTATTTCCAAGATGGATTTTTTTTCCAGGTCTGAAGATACAGATTAGCTTCAAACCCCATCTTCTGGATGGCCTTTAGGTGAGAATAAGGCAGAGCTGATCTATTCCCTATACTTGTTCACTTTGGTACAAGGTGTGCTTTGGCGTACTACCTGGTGAAGAGTGTTTCATCATAACCTTTTCCACGTCATGCTGTACTACAGGGATAACAGCTATGTAATCAAGAAAGATGCTTGGGATGATATGAAGAAATGTGACAGTCTTTTCTTTAAAATACATTGATGCAGCAGTGATGTTACTGCTTTGGCATTAGCACATACATGTGAGCTACTACAAACATATCTCAGAGATTCTCTCTCTGCTCATTTAGGCCTGTCTCCTCCCTCCTACACATTCCCAGCTCCAGCAGCAGTTATTCCTACTGAAGCTGCCATTTATCAGCCCTCTGTGCTTTTGAATCCACGAGCGCTGCCGCCTTCCACGGCATACTACCCGGCCGGCACTCAGCTCTTCATGAACTACACAGCCTACTATCCCAGGTAAGGCCCTGAAGGAAGTGGAAGCAAGGGACAAACACAAAGGACTCCTTTGATGGCTGGTGCTGTCACTCACAAAAGAAGATTGTCTGCCTCATTGAAGGTTAGCGTGGCAGGCCACAGCTTCTGCTCATGTCTCTGACTGAGAAGGTTGTTGCAAGACAAACTGAACAAAGTGGTTTTATTTAACCATATGTGTGCAGCATGATCTTCCAGATACCTATGTATACAACTTCCCTTTCTACTAGTCCTAGTGTAGGTCCCTAAGTGAGTAGCACTGTAACACTTGTGATAGGGTGGCAATATCATGGGAAGGCATCCCAAAACAGAAAAACTCGTAATGGCGATAGTTGTATTTTTTGGTTTGTTTTTTTTTTTTTTTTGGTACCAGGGATTGAACTTGGGTCCTTGCGCTTGCAAGACAAGTGACGGAACCACTGAGCTAAATCCCCGGCCCGATAGTTGTATTTTTAAGTTGCGTGAACTCATGTCAACTCGCAATAAATAAAAACTGTTTCTTTAATCTGGGTGCAGTGGCACACACCTGTAATCCCGGCTACACAGGAGGCTGAGGCAGGAGGATTCCAAGTTTGAGGTCAGACTGAGTAACAAGATCTTGTCTCAAAACCAGGGGAGGGTAGGGAAATACTGGGGTGGAGCACTTGTCTATCTGTATGGGGCCTTGGGTGTCATCCCTAGTACATAACAGCAAAAACAAAATCAAATAAAAAAACTCTTGCTTTAAGTTTGCCAGGACTTACATTCTTTTGTTCTTAAATTTTTACTGTAAATCCAAAATTAAATTACTTAGTACCTTCTTATATTTTGTCTTGGGTTCTTTTTAGTTACATTCAATTATCTGGGCAGTAGCAGAATGTAAAGGAGAGAACGTTATTCCTTCTAACTGGAGCAAATCACAACATTTTGGGATCTTACAAAATGATGGGATTAACCAAATTTTTGGAGTCCCTTTTGGGGTTTTTTTTTGGTACTGGGAATCGAACTTGGGTCCTTGGGCTTGCACAGCAGGTGGCGGCGAAACCACTGAGCTAAATCCCTGACCCTGGAGTCCCTTTTGGGTCTGATGGCTTGTGATTAAGTGGGATATACAAGAAATGACCTATTTCTTTTTCTTTTTAAATTTTTAACTGCCTTTGTTTAGCCAGTAACCAATTCACTTTATTAATATACCTCCAGAATTTTACTTTATCCCATCACTTCTTTTTTCATGCTGGGGATTGAACTCAGGACCTTGTGCTTGCAAGGCAGGCCACAGAACCATTGAGCTAAATCTCCAGCCCCAGAATTTTGCTTTAGCATAAGCAGTATTGCTCAAAGTTTTTAAAACAAAGTGACGACAGCAACAAAAATCCCATTTATTCCAAGCCTTGTTTTTTTCTATTTAGACTAAATGTTTTATCAGTAGCTTTTCACCCTCAGTGCTACTGAAACTATTCCTTATTCCACTGGGGAGGAAGAATAGGAAGGAAACATGACAGCTGTCAGCTGGCTGTCGAGTACCGGTTTGCAAACACAGGAATAATTGACTGAGCACCGAGCCATAGTCTGTCACCCAGACCCTGGGACAATAAGGTCTTTGTCCATCTGGGGCGGAATGTGCTGTGCACACAGGGCCTGGCCCACCGCACATGTGCATAGGATCCCATCAGTCTGTCCCTGCCCACTCCCTGGGTCCTGGGACAAGAGGGGACCTTTGGAAATGAGGCAGAGCCTTCAGTGGAAGCCCCAAAATGGAGGAACTGACATGTGTGGTTTAATTGCTTCTGTAATTTTGGGCTCCTGCCTATAGGTTAATTTTTTTCAACTGTAGTCTAAAAGATTATAATGTGCCTATTAGTAAGTAGGGAAGTATAGTGAGTTAAGTGTTCTGTTTTAAGAGGAGGGGATCGGGGGTGGGATAAAATAAAATAAAATTTATGTTTTTTGAAAAGTTGTGGTTTATGCACCTCCCACTCCAGAAATGTCCATTATTACTAATTTCATAATATATGTGTGGGTTCTGAATAAGGACTGTCCACTTCTTTCTTGTTTTTAAACTTATCAATATACCCTAGAGAAGAAGGGTGTAATTTCCTTCATTCTTGTAACCTTTTTTTATAATGTTCCCAAAGTAAAAATACATCATAATTTAATGATTTATTTATTTTTTGACATCTAAACTTTTTTTGTGTGGTGATGGTGATAATGGAGATGGAACCTTTGTTCTGAGCTACATCCTCAGGCTTTTTAAAATTTTTATGTTGAGATGGTGTCTCACTAAATTGCCTCGGCTGGGCACAAATTTGTGAGCCTCCTGCCTCAGCCTCCCAGACTTCTGAGATTACAGACATGTACCACCTTGCCTGGGTACATCTCAACTTTTAACTTTTCTCCATTAAGCAAAGTTCATATTGACCTTTAAATACTTGATTATATTTCTATAGGGTGATTTCATGGAAGTAAAATTTTCAAACTGAATGCCATGTGCTTTATATTTATACTAAAGCTACTTTTTTGGAGGCGGTACTGGATTGAACTCAGGGACTTTTCAATGAGCTGTATGTCCATCCACATCACCCCCACCACCACCCCTTTCTTTAAATTATTTTTTATTTTGAGACAAGGTCTGGCTAAGTCACCACATTGTCCAGCCTAGGCTCAAACTCAAGATCCTCCTGCCTCAGCCTCTCAGAGTACTGGGATTATAGGCATGAGCTACCATGCCCCTTTAAACTAATATTTCTGAATTGACTGTTTTGTTTTGAAAAGGGATCTTGCTAGGCCAGGGATTTAGCTCAGTGGTTCCGGTGCCTGCCTCGAAAACACAAGGTCCGGAGTTCAAACCCTGGTACCAAAAAAAACAAAACAAAAGGGATCTTGCTAAGTTGCCCAGGCTGGCCTTCAACTCAAGATCCTAGGTAAATGTTCAAGTGTATTTCTGTCTGTTCTCTGATAGATAGGGAAGACTGAGAAGGCACACTCTAGGCTGAAGAATGAATATTTTTCAGAGAAGCTTTGGAGTTTGTCTTTTTTTTAGAGTGCTGTAGTTTTCAGAGTTGATTTCTCTTCTTAGGTTGATTCCTAGGTATTTCATTTTTTTGGATGCTATTTTGAAAGGAATTGTCTGCCCATTTTCTCTCTCAGTGAGTCTGTCATTGGTGTAGAGGAAAGCTATTCATTTTTGTGTGTTGACCTTATATCCAGCTAGTCTACTGAATTTGGTTATTAAGTCTAGAAGACTCTTGGTGGAGTTCTTGGGGTCTTCTATATAGAGTATCATGTCAGGGCTAGGGATGTAGCTCAGTGGTGCTGCGCCTGCCTGGTAAACACAAGGTCCTGAGTTCAATTCCAAGAAAGGAAGGGAAAGGGAAAGGAAAGGGAAGGGAAGGAAAGGAAAGGAAAGGGAAGGGAAGGAAAGAAAGAAAGAAAGAAAGATACAATGAACGAACGAAGAGATGCATTTGCAAAAGTATGTCATTTGCAAATAATGACAATTTAACTTCTTCATTTCCTATCTTTATTCCTTTTATTTCTTTCTCTTATCTAATTACTATGGCTATGACATTTTTCATTGAATTTTTTATTTTATTTTAAAAATTTCTTATTTATTTATTTGGGTCCTGGGAATTGAACCTAGAGCTTTGTGTGTACTAAAATGTGCTCTGCCCAGTCCTTACATTAAAATTTTAAATTCCCTCCATATTTCTTTATTTTGGGTACTGACGATAGAACCCAGGACCTTTGCACTGAACTACATCCCCGGCCCTTTTTAAATTTAATTTTTAAAAATTTTGAGGACCGGTGATGTAGCTCAGTGGTGCTGCCGCCTGGCTCACAAGCGCAAGGTCCCAAGTTCAATCCCTGGTACCAAAAAAATATTTTTATATTTAGCTCAGTGGTTCTGGCACTGGCCTCGAAAGTGCAAGGTCCTGAGTTCAATCCCCAGCACCAAAAAACAACAACAACAAAAATATTTTTTTGAGACAAGTTCTCACCAAGTCACGAGGCTGAGCTCAAACTCACAGTCCTGCCTGGGCCTCCCTAGATTAGATTGCCAGTTTGTACTACTACACTTGGCAAATTTCTTTTACTTTTTAAAAAAAAAGTCATTGGGTTCAAAAAAAGTAGTTATTGTAAGCTTTTTCTTTTTTTTTTTTTTTGAGCCAAGATCTTGCTATGTAGCCCAGGCTGGGGGCTCCTGGGAATCCTCCTGCTTCAGCCTCCCGAGTGCTGGGATTACAGGTGTGCACCACCACATCTGGCAGCTTTCTAATTAATTTAACTGTTTTAAACCTTCAGTTTCAGTGAGCAAACTGAGCACCTTCTCCATGTGATGTATTGGGAATATTATGGCCAATAAACCATGGACTCTGTACAGCAGCGGGCAAAATCCACCCTACCAACACATCTTTCCACTAGAGGTGGATTGAGGGTCTTTGTCTCTATTTGATCCATTTTTGATTTGTTCATACATGTGGAGATGAGCTCAGTAGTTGCAGTGCTCTAGGAATATAAGTGTCTTTCGTCATGAGGATTTAGCTTACTTGAACATCTTCAGGGAAAGGATGAACCAAGCAGCTTATTATTTTACCAGTTAATGAGTTCTTAGGGCCCTAACACAGCATCTTTAAGAGCAAGTGAAATAAGTCTCATGCCATTTCCTTTTCTCCTTGTGGATTCCCACCAAACCTTGGAAACCTTGGAAGGGGTTCCAGTTCCCCAGGGACCCATGCCTTAGCCAGGACCCAAGAACTAGCTAGAAGGGGTCATCTGTCCCTGTCCACTGTGTCTGCCACTCCAGACTTGGAGAGAGCACAGACTTCTCTCTCATCACATGAAGGCCTGCATTTTATTCTCACTCGCTCTTTTTTTGGTTTTTTTCCAGTACTGGGGATCAAACTCAGGACCTTGCACTTGTGAGGCAGGCACAGTGACACTATGCTAAATCTCTGGCCCTCTCATTATTTTTTGGCAGTACTGGAGATTGAACCTAGGGCTGTGAC